CAGTATACTTCATGATATCAGACAGGCTAATTCCTAGTCAAATTCGATATCATCATCTATAATGGAGTTAAAAGGCGTTAGAGGATTGAATTTAATATTGGAAATTGATATAGCAATCTGAGTTCGTAGGCGGATTTTGGAGGTATACTTGAAATTTGTCCCAGAATCCCCTTTTGGCCCTATATAAAGGTAGGTAAACCTACAAAATCGTCAAATAACTATGATATATATATTTCTTAATTTAGTTAACAAATAATAAGATGAAGAAAAATATAAAGCAACACCTACCCAAGTTAATAATTCTCGCTCTTTTTTTAAAAAAAGTTTCAAGATCTTCATAATTCTTATTCGTTAATAATAACTTAAATGCTATTTGAGAGCATTTTGCTGTAATCAACCAGCATTTAATTAATATATTAGTAACTTGATTGCGATGTAAGCCTGTTCGATCTTGAAGTTTTGTTAATTCTGATAGTTTTAGACAGTCAGCTATTAGAGTTCAGTTTAATATAAATGGCATTATTATTTCTAATTTAAGAGAGTCTGACATCATAAAACTTTCAATATGGTTGATCAGGTTTGGAAGCTTTGACCATTAATAGGAATATTCAAAAGACTTCCAAACATTAATAAATCTTTGTTTACCATACGATGATAATATATCAATAGTTATTTTGATTAGTTTTAATATTTTACCAACCATTAGATGATATGTATCTTGCGGCGATTATAGATATCACTCACGTTGAAGCTGATCGAGTATTGAATAATTATTTTGCAAACTATATTCCCTTGCAATATTATTTTGTTTTGTAAATGTTAAAACTGCAAAAATTTCTTCAAAATGTGTATTTGTAATGTGATAATAACGAGAGATGTGAGTGATATCTAGGTTATTATCTGTTGCATGTTACTTAGCCACTAAACAAGTTCTACATTCCTGTATAAAATTATAATTTTTAAAAATAAATGCAGATTAGAAACAGTTCAATAATCAATAATTAATACTTTAAATTGCTAAATTTTGTAAATTTCTTATTCTTATTGCACTATATCATTTTACTCCTGTTAGATCATTGCCTTAAGGCAGGTCTGTAGTAATACATCCAAGACTAGAAATGACCCAACAATCCCTATCTTGAACATTCATTACTGTCCCTTGTTCTAATTGCTTCATATCTGAAATAAAAGGACTAATAAACTCATTAAAATTACTACTGAATGAAATGAATCCTAAAACAAAATAATTACATAAGTGCTTTCTAATTAAATGGCATATTTTCAAGTTGTATATAAACTTTATCTAAAGAATGATAGATATTTTTATATGTTCCAAAATCATCATAATAAATATCAATGAATAACTTTAGAATCTGAAGATTATTGTATTGTAATAGTGGTATACTAAAGTTGAATATTCACACAGATGTATATAGTCAAGATTTACATTACGTAATTTCCAACGTCCATAATTTTTATATAAAATTTCTTTAATATAAAGGCTATTAGTAATATTTGAATTGCGAATAATTATTATGTTAATTTTTTGAATAACTTTATTCATATCTACAATAATGCTACCCTCTTCTAAATACTGATCTACCAACCACAATGCGATTCTTATGTTTTCGAACGAATATTGCTATGAAAATGGTTTACTAATTTATTATATATATAAATCCTTTGTATTTTTATTCGAATTTCATTATTAATGGAAATAATTGATCGTATTCATCCAAGTCTTTGACTATTATCTTCTCTATATATGATGAATTCACTAGGATGATAGAATTCTATTATAATCGTTAAAAATTAGAATAAAATATATTCATTAAAATTAATAAAACATACGAATAATAATTTATTCATAATCAATAATACCTTGATTAATAATTATTTTATCTTGGCCGAATAATGGTGATTCTGCCCAAAGATCACCATGTCAATATTCTTTTTTGGCTTCAACATCAATTCCTGATCCGAAGTATAACATATCGTATAGTGATCGGTTATTTAGAATATTTCAGATGATATCAAAAATAGATAGATAATAACTGACCTTATTTTTTTTAAATGTGGATGGAATCTTCTTTTGATTAATTTTAATATTATGTGCCCTTATTGGTATTAATAGTAATCGATATTTCCATTGCTAAAATTTTCTCACATTCTTTACGATATCTTTTACATTAAAAGCTGAATGTTGCAAAATTTCTACTAGATCATCATATGCACTTATTGCTATAAAAATATAATATTTTTAATTAATGTAATAATAAATAGATTAAATTTAACAACTTTCACTTGCCTATATTATGCTTTTGCATCCAGCAAAATAATAATGCAGAAGTCGTATTTTCAAAGTAAGGGGCAAAGTTTCCATTTATATTTGACATTTGATCGTAATCTATTAATTTATCAATTATCGAATCTTTGAAATATTCATCTTCATAAATGTCTTCTTCTTCATCATTCTTGTTATAATCATTTTCTCCAAAATTATTTTTCACAGTATCATCTATTTCGTCCTTATTTGTATCATTATCATCATTGCGATCATATACATCCCATCAATATTTTCTGTTATATCTTCTATTTTATTCTTATATATATTATCATTATTCTCATCATTATCACTACCGTGATCGTAATTCTCGTTATCTTCATTCTCATCATTTTCTACTATAAATATAAAAACATTCAATATAATACATTGTAATTGTTATTAATAGTTTATTATATATGTTATTCACTTATTCATTTTAGTTGAAATTATTCGTTTATGCTTTTGAAGAATATTGCAGCTAGAATAGTTTGAGTTTTTTATAAAGAAAATGGTTTAAATGATGAAAGATGATGTTTGCGCATTTTTCAAATTTAAAAAATTAAAAAAAAGAATATTTTCGTAATGTTAAATAGAGTTATTTTTTTTAAAAGTTTATTTGATTTATATATTTAGCGTTATATTAATAGTCTATTTTATTTAGTATAGCATAATCAACTAATGCTTATTTATTCTAGATTACTAATCATACAGATCTTATTTTACCAAAAATGGTAATTTGGTAATAGCTCTTGAGTATTATCTAGCAAATAATTAACAAATCTATGTATAATACGCATAGACTACATAAATAATTTGTCAGATAATCCTGAGAAAATTCATTTATTGAAAATTATTTTATAAATCGTTATACAAAACAAATTCTACTCATATAGGAGCTAACCAGTTTAATGACTTAATTATTATCCAATTATACTATTAAGTTACAAAAAAAAATTCAACATGCGAGATTTAATTTTATTACTAATATGTATTCTTTTTACTTACATATTAACTACAGTTTTTAATATATGCTAAAATAAGCGTGGGAACAAAATATTTAATTATGACTATATGATCGACAAATCAGAAATGCAAGCTGATTAGTATTGTTTTATTATATAATTAATCTAAATATAAAAAGGTTAAATAGTGGCTAACGACTATTCTATCTTTATTC